GGCTGCAGGGTGTTCGGTGAGGGCTGCAGGGCTGTGCGGGGGCTGAGGCCGCTGCTGGGAGCTGAGGAAACACCTCGTGCTCCTCACGTAATTCCCGGCTGTGAGAAGCGTTTGTCACGCCCAGAACAGCCCCAGACGGGTCCCTCAGCCAACTCGGTGTATTTACGGTCGTGCAGGAGGGTGACCCGAACAGGCGGGCACTGCCGTGCTCACATTCCCTGCTCCCAGCACACAGCTCCCTGTTTCCCCACTGCCCGGGCACTCCAGGGTTTACAGCCTCTCCAACGCTTCTACTTACCACATAAATTTCCCACCCCTGTTCACACATCCCATTCTACGTATTGACTTTTTACCTTCTAAGGTTTAACTGAGCTCCGTGGCCCCTTGGCTGCCCTCCCAGCCAGCACAGCCCTTGACAAACCCGCTGCCCGCCTGTCCCGCGGCCGTGACTGGCTCTGCCCCCTGCCCGCCTGTCCCGTGGCCGTGACTGGCTCTGCCTCCCCAGGGCCTCGCCATGTGCAGGGATCTCAGCTCCCCCAGTTCGGTCCCTCCGTTCTTGCATCCCTCAGTGCCCTTGGAATGCCCAGATCCACTCCCTTCTCTCTTCAGCCGCCACGAAGTTTCTTTTCACTAGGGCAGAAACAGTCACCTTCCTAACACCAGGATGCGAGAACGCTGCATTCTGACCATGACCCGTTATTACCCCATGGCAAGGTGATTCAGCAGTCAAACCCAGATCCACCTTTGGGGGGAAGGTATAAGATTCACAGCCTTCGGAGCAGAACACGGGTACACGTGCACTGGGCCTGTACCGTGGTCACCCCCAGTTGTTGAGCTCGGTGTGCTGCCCCAAGGACACGGAGGGGAGCACAGACACCCCAGCCTGGCTCTGACAGAATGGGGGTCTGAACACACCCTGGAACCGCCGCGCCGCACAGCTGGGGACATCGTGGCCAGGTGGTGCAGAAAGCACGGGGACCTGGAGGTGCCCTAGAACCAACAAGCCGCGTTTTTGATGCCCTTGGCCACGAGCACCCGGTGTGCGGGACAGCCCCCCGCACAGCCAGCCCAGCCCTCAGGCACCGGGGCTGCTGTGACCCCCGAAACACGCCGCGAGTGGAGCAGCCACCCCGGAACACGCCTTGGGCTGCCCGGACCT